TTTTACATTCAACATTTTAAATACATTGAATGTTGAGATAGATATGAACAAAAATATAGTTTTCCAATAGTAATTTCCATATAAACTTCAAATGGTTTGTGCCAAGTCAGTATCTTACTGAATGATTTCACATTTTGGGAGACTTATCAGGACCCAATTTGGAACCGTTTGAGCACTGTGGAGCGAAACATTCAAATTTTACATCAGTCTAATGATCACTTGGAGACCTTTTGAATAGTTTCTGAGCAACCTGGTATCTTGAAATTGCATTGTTGGGCAGCGAAATTTTTGATATTTTTGATCACCTGGAGTTCTTTGCAACCTCGTATGATGAGAGAATATCTGGAAGATGAGATTTGAATTGACAGTTGAAAATTTTCTGAATATCGCGCTGAAGTTTTTAACAGATACATTGACCATTTTTTGGAGATCTCTGATTACCTGAAGGTCTTTTGAATCATTTCTGAGCAACCTAGTATCTTGGATATATAGGAGATATGATTTGAATTCATGTGCAGTTTAAGATCTTCAGAATGATACCTGATTATGCTGAAGTCTTGAACAAATATTTGGAAGACTTACCTAGATACTTTGGTGTAATTTGGTATTTGGGAGAATAACTGGGAGATGTGTTTTGAATTGTTTTGAAGATTTTAAAAATGATACCTGCTCACACGGAAGTCTATAACAGATATCTTGAAATTTTTTTGGAGATCTCTGATCATTTGAAGGCATTTGGAATGATTTCTGGGCAACCTGGAATTGTAAGAGGATATCTGGGAGATATGATTTGAATTGTTGTGCAGATCAAGAGCTTCAAAATAATACCTGATCAAACTGAACTTTATATTTGAGGAATTTTGGAGATGTTGCTATTATTTTGAACAATTTTACCTGGTGTCTCACTTTCCGGCAGGTGCTTCCAAAAATCGGCATGCGCTGCTATTTTATCGAACACAACTGTACATCCAAGATTTTTGAATCACAACGTCGTGTAATTCTTCTTAGGCTTCTTGCATCCAAAAACAGACTTCTATTAACGAGATATGTTTCAAACATTCATCGGTGTTGTTTTCTGATGGTCTTAAGCTACGATCCGACTATATAATTTCAGTTTAAACCTGTACAGTTTATCTGGCTTCTAATCTAATCGGTTAACAGTTTTCTACATACAATGAAAATATCTGTGACTGCGACTGCCGAACTGCAGAGCTTTATTTTGACATTCGGCATTTTATTTACGTTTTTATTTTCAGTGTCCGATTTGGTTGGTTTGTAATCACAAGTGACGGGAAAATGAACGATTGAGGTGAAAATTAAAGCAGTGAGCCAACAACCCTAATTAAATTGTTATGGTTATTTTGCTTAACGACGTGTACCGGGTATCATCCAAACCATTTGCGGAATAGTTCTATTATTTGGGTTATCGTTAGTTTATGGTTATTTTTTATTAGGGAACCGCCAGGCATAATAGTCAAACGGTGACCCATAAGTGTTCGAATGAGGAAACCTTACATTACATTGGCGGCATTCTATCACTCAAATAGGAAACAAATTCTTTAAACTTTAATCGCTCTTCCGTTCACTGTCAACCATCAAGTTGTGAGTCTGCAGAGGTTTCTCTGTCCTTACAGTGTAAAGTCTGGAACGCGCAAAAATTGGTCATCTTCAAATTGGTGTATTTCTGTTAAAAATGCATAAAAAAAAACCTGAAATGCTGTATTTGGAAGTTGAGTGTATATACAATGGTTGCTATGATGAGTTTTCACCGTTTGCTCTCCAGTTTTCAAAATGACGTCCTAGCAAGAAGAGCAGCGTGTCAAAATTTTGCTCGCGCAGCAAGAGAATCCGACGTTCTCACACGCCAAGTTGGCAAAATTGCTGGATGTGGCCAAATATACCGTGACAAACGTTTTAAAAGTGTTCGGGGAGCGTCTGTCGACCGCCAGGAAGCCTGGAAGCGGCGGCAATCGTAATCCGGACGTGGCAGCGACGACGGAGAAGGTGGCGGTGAAATATATGCGGAATCCTAACCTCTCCATCCGGGACGTCGCTGGCAAGCTCAATGTCTCCCATACTACCGTTCGACTGTGTCGTCATGGACGACGAAACTTATGTGAAGGCGGAATTCAAGCAGCTTCCGGGACAGGAGTTTTATCAACAATCAATACGAAACTAACGATTTTAAATTGGCTCACTACTTGACTAGCCTATTGGTCCCAAGCTAATCGATGCACCCCTCGAAACATAGGAAAATACACGAACCCCTCATTTTATCTGTCAAACTTTCATAGCGAATCAAAACAAACATAGTGTAGTACTAGAATTTCAACTAGAAAAGGGTACGTTAATCAATTTGCTTGGGACCAATAGGCTAGTTAAGTAGTGAGCCATTTTAAAATTGTTAGTTTCCACTGGTTGCTACTACCACAAACGAAGTGACAGACGACTAACTGGCGAAGAAATCAATTAAAATAATGTGGTTCGCTGTAATAGAATTTTCTTAGAAGCTTGTGCCATCATCCACCAGATGCGTTAGTATTTTTGTTTTGGTTTGGTACAATGATTCTTTGACAGTGTGCAAAGAGTGTATCATTTTGTCATTTTTTTATGCGTTTCAGTTTTGATCAGAGTGAAAGAGATAGAACCAAAGCATTCTAGTACATTTGGTGAAAATGCTGGTTCTATCCTGTAGCAGTGTTGCCATGTGGTACAATCCAGTAGTAGTGGTGTTGCCATGTGGTACACTGAAAAATTGCAATAGCAGGTTAGTCACCAAAGTTTTCGAGCCGCTCCGTCAGTCACTTCGTTTGTGCTACTACTGGATTGTACTAGCATTTTCACCAAATGTACTAGAATGTTTTGATCTCTTTCACTCTACTCAAAACCGAAATGCATAAAAATGATAAAATGATACACACTTTTGCTCACTGTCAAAGATCATTGCACACAAAATCAACTTTGTTCAAATCAAAACAAAAATACTAGCCCCTCTGGTGGCTGATGGTACCTCGGATGGCACAATCTTCTAAGAAAATTCTATTACAGTGAACAAGAAATACTCAGAGGGAGAGATGTGGGGAGAGAATATTTTGAGCCAAATGAACTGCCAAAGTCTGAGCCAATCGCCCATTAGGTTTTGTCCGAGGATTTCTTATTCTTATTAGATTAAATTTAAGAGTATTGCAATCGAAAAAAATTCAATCACCTTTATGTTTCGTGTACTTCTCAAATTCAACTAGTTTTTGGAATCAAAAACAATATCCTAACTCTATTGATTAATTGATCTTAGTTGGTTAGTTAATGGCACCAAGAAATGTGCAAAATATTGCGATGAAATCAATCATTATTTTGCACGTAAATCGAATCAAAAATAAAAGTCATGTGAAATGCTGGCTTCAAGCAAGGGTTGCAAGATAATTTAGGTACAAATCCCTGCTGCCGAATTGTATTTTGTTTTCTCCGCCTATCTCTCCCTTTGAGTATTTCTACAGCGAACCACATTATTTTAATTGATTTCTTCGCCAGTTAGTTGTCTGTCACTTCGTTTGTGATATTATTGATCAAAATTATCTATAATCGCACAAAGGTTAAGATGGAAATATGTATAAAAAACAATAGGATTTCAATATTTTAGTCCTGTCAAAACCTTAAAATCGGCTGGCAAAAAATAACATCCAGCAGCACACAATAGATGCTTGGTTATGTTTTGTTTATTTTCTTAGTATTTGACACTGCATTGTGGGTCCAAATGGGTATCGAAAATTTCAAAATAATGAATAGAAAAATTACCTGTGTTTATTTAGTTGCACTAAAACTGATTTCTAGTAAAAGTGGTGGGGTGAGGGGCTTATCCGCCTTCCCCTACTGGTTTTATTCGTAAATATCAGGTCATGTTTGGTCAAAAACGGTTCTGCAGGCATTTTTAAAAATTCCTGGCATTTCTGCTTAAAATATTTAATAACATTTACACACATGAAATATGGTATTGAATATGTTCATAGTAGTGATTAATCCCGTGTTTACGATCCTTCCAGCACTTGTTCCAGCTACGTTCATCTATAAATAGATCACTGATTAGAAACTGGTTTCCATGCTGCGAAAAGCATGAAGTCATGGCCGCAATTGCAGCATAAGCCTACTAAGGGATTATTCAAATTCGTACCAACGCCAAGGTTAGATTTCCGACTTTTCTCGCTGCTATCTGGGAGTTTTGTTAATTTTTCATTGTCAACTAAAATATGTGTATCGGACAGACAGCGGTTTTCAATCAACCTTGTCTATCAGAAAGTACCCAATTATCTCCGCAAAGCTATAGCGTAAAAACCCACCACAATTCGATGGACAGTTCACATTCCTCAGCGCCGCTTCTTCTGCGACACCAAACAATGGTATGCAGCTGCGCGCGTGAGTTTGAACCTACGTACCTGCCTAGAAGCTTCATTTGAATATGACACACGAGAGGGATCAGATAAAAATTATCTCCACACAACTCCCTGTTGTTTAGAGAAGAAGAAACACAAAATCACCTATCTTATCAATTATCACACACATTTCGTCGTCGGTTATCAGTTGTCGTCTTCTCGCCAGTCTGCTTAAAATCAACCAGGTCCAGGCGGCCACATGTGTGTTTGTATGCCCATCGATTTACTGTCAATTCCCTACCCGTCTTGCCAGGCTTTGGGCTGCTTACTGGGGAGCTTAGGTAGTCCCTCTTGGTTGGCTGGCTGGGCCTCGAGTCTTATCAGGACAGCTGAGATTGGGGCTATGTTTGCATAAATTTTTGCCGCGATAAGCCCGTGCCCGGGGGCGAGGCAGCTCTATATATAAAACCCCGGACATCCGAGCTACTCGCGACCATTAGCAAGAGTGCAGCGCTGCCAAGCAGGATGGTTCTCCGGAAGATTGTTACGATATCTAGGGTTAGATTAGTGCTTTTTTTATGGATTGATAAGGGTTGATTGTGATAATTTATGGTTACTTTCTTTATCGAATTCCAGATTTTAACTGCAGAATGCGCACAAAGTTTGTTCAACCGTTGGACGATTACCAGTTGGCGTTGAACGGCCTGAAGACGCGGTATGAATTTGAAAAAGTGAAACCGCTGGCAGACGAGGATGAGTTCATCGACGTGACTGGTGATGATTCGTCCGACTTGCAGGTGAAAATCATTCCGATCCTGGAGCAACCACCGTCGAAGATTTACTACGATAACATCGAGAAGGAATCGAGTGATGGGGGGTTCTTCGATCGCGATGATCTGGACGATGAAGACGAGAAAAATGATCTGATTATAGACTTTAAATTCAATGGGGAGACTGGGGAGAAGAAGACTGAAAGTGGAATCTATTGTAAAGCTGACAAGGAGCCGGAGTTGGTATTCAATTTTACACTTGTGGATACTCAATTGGTTTATAATGAACCTAGCATCGTGCCAAAGCTGCCAAACCAGAAAGACTTGCAAAGTGGAGCTAGTGACAGGCCCATGGTGTCGATCACGATACCACCTCCTAGTATGCCATCCCCTCCCCGGCAAAAGCACAGCATACTAGCCAATAAGCTCAAGGAAGCTCGGATATATCCGTATCCCAGAACGAATTCAAACCTCTCGAATGGCCTCAGAAGGGCAAGTGTACCGATTCCGGTCAATAACGGCGGGTTCTACCGAACGTTACAGTCTAACGAACCCATCGGTAGTAGATTTAGGTAATTTTAACACTCCAGTCTTTTTAAACTACGCAAAGCTAACCTATCACCTTTCATTGTTCTTCTTTTCAGACCATCTGCCTTCTCACCCCCAGTGAAATCTCACGTTGTGCCACAGTGTGTTCCGCTAAAGTCCTCGATGAGACGTTTGGTTAACCCTCGAAGCCAATTCGCTCAACCACCACCGGGCAAACCAAAAAAAAAGCTCTACCGCCAATCAGCTCTAGTCCCTCAGCAACAGCTCCCCTACCCACCGTACGAGCGTTACGTCAAACAATTCCGAGCATACGGCAAAGGTCAGCTGCCCATCCTACCGGAAGCACACAAATCGCCCAGCTATCTGCCGCCACAGTTCGGCTTCGGATCATCCGTCCTTCAGAACCTATACGATCCGGATCAACCCCTAGACCTTACGAAAAACTCCTACCTAAGCCAGTACGAATCCATGCTCAAATATCCCCATCAGCACCAACTGTGGCAAGGTCACTCGATCCTCCGTTCAATGCCCGTACCAAAACCACCACAACCCCCGAAAACTGCCCTTCGCCCACAGCTGGTCCCCTTCAAGCAACATCCCACCTTATCGCAAATCCAACGCTTCCCCTTACGACCAACGGAATCATTCCACCTCCGGCAAAGAACCCTCACACCTCCTGAACCAACAACAACCAGCGTCATCGTGCCGAGCGAATCGTTCCGGCAAAACATGAACCACGAAATCGAGGAATTCTTCACCCACCGGCAGAACGAATTATGCGAAGCTCTTCGGCTGTTCAACGTCAAATGCATCGAGCTCGAAGAACTGTTTCGCCGCTTGAACTATTTTAAGATTCAATTCAGCCGCGATTACTTCAGGGTCGCGAGGACCATGATGAAACGGTACGGCTACCGATTCCGGACCGGTGCTCCCCCTACCAGTCTGGACTACCGATGGCAGGAGCCTCCGCAAGACTTTGTCGACTACTTTCGCAAGGTGAAGAAAACCCTCCGGCCGCACGCGCCGGAGGAAACGTTGAACATCTACCGCATGGTGATCGGAGGACTGCTGGAGCAGTTCCGTGGTCCGCTGGAGCACTTTCTCTCTAGAAATCTACTGTACGGTTCCGAAACAGGAAAAACAAAGGTCATGTGATAGGATATTGGATAAGTAACTGTGCCATAGTTGTCCTTCTAGTTCAATATATAGCTATACTCGAATCGTAAATCGCAATCGATGTGCCTCAGTAGAATATAGCCGAAAAGCTGTTCAACGTTTAGCTTTAATAGGAAGGTAAGCTTTAAATGTTAGAAGTAGAATGTGTCTCATCTATTAGGTTTTTAACGGTGCAAAACACTAGATGTGATATAGTTTGTAAGGAGCCGGACGTTATCGTATAGTATGATAAAAACGTATAAGCAATGCTGAGGAAGGTTACATAACACAGTCAGTGCAAATGAATTTCGAATATTTTATGTGTGTTGCATTTAAAGCGAAAGTATACGAATTTATTAAAAGATAAGTTGATAAGACGGTTGTTTTATTTTCAATCACAATCTCCACCGGATTGGGAAAGAGGTGCAACATTGCCCAAGTGCTTCACGTGACGAAGCATTGGGTGGTGTACTCGGCCACCGGAGGCAACCCCAGAGCAGGAGAGCTGAGTCAGCATCAGAAGGTGATACATCCATGATAAGGATTATTATCAGTTAATGCATAACATAAAACGAGTTTTCAGTATTGTTGCCAAAGCACTTAACTTACAGGGGATACTCAAAATACCTTGGGTAGGCAAATTTTCGGTCAACTTTGGAGTGTCGTAACTTCGTCCAATATTGTCCGATTCTAATTCTTCCAGAAGCATTCGACTGGAAAATTAATATGTGGTATTGCCACGGAAATACACATGGTCATAAGATTCCGCTTTTTCGGACGGCATGTCTAAGTTGCTAAACTTGTGAAGAGATTTTTTTAGAAGGTTCGTTAAAAATCTATATTTTTAGTAAATTAACAGAAAGAAGAACCAGCGGCACCGGTGGTGTAGTGGTAAGCGTGATTGCCTCTCACTCCAGCAGGCCTGGGTTCAATCCCAGTCGGCGCCGCCGGGATGTTCTGAGGCATAACATCTCTGATCACGCCTTCCATCGGAAGAGAAGTAAAGCCGTTGGTCTCCGGTTCATGAATTGATGGGTCGATAAATAGGGTCCAGGTGTTGTAGCTGCCTCCCTGGCGTCTGTAGCATTGGTGCTCAGCACGGAAAACAAGATCGACGGAAAATAAACCAAACGGAAAAAAAGAAATAATAACCATTTCCCCAATCTGTTAGGAGGGTTCAGAATGCGGTCATATTTTTAATTCACTAAAATATGTCATCCGACAGCTCTTTCTTCATGGTTTTTCATTAACATGCTTTCTGTAGACTTGAAATGTATTATTGACCACATTGGCCGCTCTCAGAACCCACATGGTACTCCAAGAGAACCTGTAGCAGGGGATAAGTCAGTGCCAACAATTCAAAGGGGCGTAATTGCTTTTGTAAACAATGGCTTTAGACGTAAATTTCTCGCAAATAAAAGCCCAATCCTCCAAATTACCAATGCTAGCTGGCACAGAAAACATTCCTGCTACCTGCTGGTGTCATTTATTTTTATGAGTGAGCTTTCATTCGCGAGAAATCGACGACTAAAGCCATTGTTTTTCAATGCAATACAATACCAGCTCCTCCGGAACAGATACGTAACCTCAAATAGTCGAGAGGTTCTTCCAGAAGTCGATCCACATCGAGATCAAGCCGAGTGACAGACGACGAAATATGCTAGTTCCACCGGAAGATTAGGGGGCGTGCTTTGAAATGCCGTGAGCCCTGTAAGTACAATCCAAAAAACTAGAATCTCGTAACGGCGGGAGTGAACGCAGCCCCGGAAAGCCACCGTGTATTCTGTTTTACGATCGTTCATCCAACATGAGATTTCTTATCGATACTGGTTCGGATGTACCGATAATTCCAGCAACAAACAAGGACAGGAGCAAAGGTGCAACACCGTTCGTTTTACACGCAGCGAAGAAGAGCATTATAATCATGTGCATGTGTATTTCAACGATTAAAATCCTACGGTCTTGTTATAAACGTGGCCAAAAGCTGTTTCGCGGAGAGTAGTGTCAACTTTCTTGGATACGTGGTGAACTACGATGGAATCCTCCCCTTGCCGGATGGAGTCAAGGCAGTTACAGACTTTCCAATCCCTTCCACCGTGAAAGAATTGAGACGATTCCTTGCATTACTGAACTGTTACAAGAGGTTTGTCGCGCACGCGTCTGATCTACAGGCTTATCTCCGAAACCTAATTCCTGGAAATAAAAAGAGCGATTGTCGGAAAATAGCTTGGACCGATAATGCCAGAAAAGCGTTCGATCAATGCAAAATCTCTCTAGCGAAAACCGCACTTTTGCATTACCCCGATTCCTCGAAACCGATGAGTTTACTTATCGATGCATCAAATACTGCAGCAGGCGCTGTGCTACAGCAGTTCAACGGCAGCAACTGATGTCGTTTTCGTTTTTGCGGTGTAGCTACACCGGTGCTACACTGCCGTACACCGAAATATTTTAGGGTGTAGACATAGGATGCACCTTTGTTTACAAACAAATCAAGAGCAAATTTTCATTACGTCGAATGTAACAAAGGTAAACAAAGTCGAGCTATCAGTGTCAATCGATGCTCCTGCTATTACACTATATACTGTCCGAATATACGATCACATCCCATTTTTAAATTTATTTACCAGTCGAATTGCTTTTTGACGTAATCACCTTCCGATCAAAATAGTTTTCGATGTTACTTAAGTCACCCGATTTCTATGGAGATGCCCTTTGCCTTAAGTAACAGCACTGAGAAACCCGTGAAAAGTGTACTTTCGTCGTTTCGCTTTCTTATTATTAAAGTGAATAAATCGAACTGTTTGTTGCTAAGATGATTTCGGTGGTCCTAAAATGATGAATGGGCTGCACGTAAGGAGACGTAATTGATAATTCTCCCGTGTATTTACCAGGATACACTTTGACTTAAGTAACAATAGGGGCCACCAAACGACGTATAATAACTTTTGACTCAAAAACCAGTATTTCTTAGCATGAAAGCTAGCGATTTGCCTGTGTATGATTAAAACCCGGCTAAATATGTTAAACATTGCTATCACTATGAGATTATATGTGTTTAATTGGAAATAGGAATAACTTTTCGGTCATCAAAACAAAACTTTATTTTTCTCGGATCGGTGCGAATGTTACTTACGACATAATGAAAATTTGCTCTTGAAATGATGTTGAGCTGTCATAAGACTCGTGCTTATTCCTGCTTACACTACACCAGTGCTACACCGCAAAAACGAAAACGACATGAGATACACTGGGCTTCTATTCGGAACAGTTCACGCCGGCTCAGGTGAAATATTCAACGTTTGGCCGAGAGCTGACAGCGATGAAGATGTCGGTGCAATACTTTCGTCATATGCTGGAAGGAAGGAGATTCGATCACATGCCGTTAACACACGCTTTGGCTTCAAGTCCAAGCAGTCGTCTTCCACACGAGGAGCGGTACTTGCGGTTCATCTCGGAATTTTCGAACGATATTCGTCATATCAGCGGACAGTTCAACACCGATTGACTACGACAAAATTGCTGCTGATCGTTGACAACTCATAGGAGTAAAGAGCTACAGAGTCGCCGTCAACGCCAATTGCGTCAGACAACTTTAGCATCAAGCTATGTGCGGTATAAGAGGTGAGGAGAAAGGAAACTAGTGGACTCTTTCATTCTGACGGTGTTCTTATGCAACAGCAGACGTGACGTCACGTCTGTTGCTGCATAAGAAGACGCGAGAACGAAAGAGTCCACTAGTTTCCTTTCTCCTCACCTCTTATACCGCACATCGAGCATCAAGACCCATGTATTGTGATGTGTCACAAAACAAAGTAAGACCATATCTAGATAGAGCTGGAATTAGGGCCTAACAGCTTTTGTAAACAATGACTATTCTCTTGATGATTTCTTGAAATTAAAGGCTCGCCCACGCAAACCAACATCCTCATCGGGTAGGGAAAGACTTCCCTTATCAGATGGTTAGGTTGGTCTGCGTGAGCGTGCCTTGAATTCCTAGAAATCATCGATAGAAGTCATTGTTTACAAAAGCTGTTACGCCCTAATTCCAGCTCTATCTAGATATGTTCCACCTCAGCATCGTGACACGGTTCTTCAACATGTCCATGGTCTGGCTCATCCAGGAGTGCGTTCTACTCGACAACTTGTAGCGGATTGGTTCGTATGGAAGAACATTAACAAGCACATTAAGTTACTCGTGCAGAACTGCCTACAATGCCAACGATCCAAGATTCATCGCCACACAGTACCTCCTCTTCAGAGTATTTCCAACAATCAATATGAAACTAACGATTTTAAATTGGCTTACTACTTGACTAGCCTATTGGTCCCAAGCAAATTGATTAACGTACCCCATTCTAGTCAAAATTCTAGTACTACACAATGTTTGTTTTGATTCGCTATGAAAGTTTGACAGATAAAATGAAGGGTTCGATTTTCCTATGTTTCGAGCAGTGCATCGATTAGCTTGGGACCGAAGATAGTACCAAAAATCAATACGAAACTAACGATTTTAAATTGGCTCACTACTTGACTAGCCTATTGGTCCCAAGCAAATCGATTAACGTACTCCCATTCTAGTCGAAATTCGGTCAACGGTCCCAAGCAGTCCCAAGCTATTTCACTCACCCCTGCATGTTCTGCATGTATCCACACACCCCTGATGTTATCTGTCAAACTTTCATAGCGAATCAAAACAAACATAGTGTAGTAATAGAATTTCAACTAGAATAGGGTACGTTAATCGTTTGCTTGGGACCAATAGGCTACTAAAGTGGTGAGCCAATTTAAAATCGTTAGTTTCGTATTGATTGTTGCTGGTACTCTCTTCGGTCCCAAGCTAATCGAATCACCCCTCGAAACATAGGAAAAACCAATAACCCCTCATTTTACCTGTCAAACTTTCATAGCGAATCAAAACAAACATTGCGTAGTACTAGAATTTCGACTAGAATGGGGTACTTTAATCGTTTGCTTGGGACCAATAGGCTACACGCTTATTCTGGTCAACTCAAAATTGAGTCGAATGTACTCATCTCAGCGGCAAGTATGGCTACTCAAAATTGAGTAGCCTTATGTTGACTCACTTTTGAGTAAACTACGTTCTCACGTAGACTGAGTCAAATCCACTCGCCGGTATTTTCAGTTGCAGGGAGGGTTTTTATTTTGGTTTTCATTCGAAATGGAAATTGCCTGCTCCGGATTCCTTCTACCGGAGCAAAAAACGGTTCAACACCGTTTCCCTAAGCAATTCGTATTTACCTGAAGGCATTCCAGCCGGTTTTGAGTAACATTTTTTATGAGCTTTCCTCCGACATGACTGGCATTTTTTCCAAGTCCAGGATTTTGCTGACTGAGTGGCTTTTACTCAGTTTGACGTTTCTCGTTTACTCAATTTTTGACAACTCGATACATCGGACGAAAGTGAGTACGATCGACTCACCTGGTGAGTAAGCAGAAGTTAGCGTG